GGTCCAAGTCCCCCTTGAGTAAGAGGCCTTTGGCCACAAGCCCCACGCGCATCACGCCGCGGAGGGTCCTGGTCAGCTGCTCCGTGGCCTTCTGATCCCTGCAAAAAGGACACGGCGCGATGGCAGCGGCCCCAAAAAGCAGAAAATTGGCTGCAGCCAAGCACCAGAGCTCAGCTGGGGCTCAGGGATGGCTCTGGGGAGCACCAACGGGATGCAACACCGCAACCAGGCAGGAAAAAATCACTCAGTACCACGTCAGCCCCCAAATTAACCCCAAAACCAAGGGAAATGGGGTCTTCCCCAGTTCCAACAGGACCTTTTCGACTACCAAGCCCGCCCGATGCCTCACCCTCCTTCTTTGTTCTCCTCCTCAGCCGCTGTCTCCATGGCCTCCGCCTCGGGCTGCTCCCCCCCGACTTTCTCCTGCTCATCGATCCAGTCGGAGACGGCTTTGAGGGCGCGCTCGGTGTGGGACACCATGTTCTGAACCGCCTCCAGCTCCTCCTGCGTGGGGTACACGGCCGAGTGCTTCGCCATCACGTGGCGGTCGTCGTTCACAAAGATACGCATTGGTCGCTGTGGGGGCAAGGAGAGGGGGTTCCAGAATCAGCCCGGAATTATTTGGGTTGGAGGAGACCCCCAAAATCACCCAGCCCAACCCCAGAACCATTTGGGTTGGAGGAGACCCCCAAGACCACCCAGCCCAACCCTAACCCTAACCAGCCCTCCACCAAACCCCGTCACCAAGCTCGAAGTCTAAACCTCTTTTGAAGACCCCCAGGGTTCAGTGCCAGGCCAACCCCGGAGGTTTTTCTCTAAAAGATGTGAATTCTTCCCATTTTGTCAACTCTTCCCTTACCATTTTTGCTTCCAAGTGTCCGTCCGAGCGCTGCCGTCCCCGCGTGTCCGTCCCCACCGCGCTTGTTTAGACTCGCCCGTAGCGGTACCGCACTTTTTGGTCACCTGCAAAGAGGAAAAGCCAATTAGCAAAGGGTAATTAGCGGGGTCGTCAGGCCTCACGACCCCTCCGAGCTCCGGGGGGTGGCTGAGCTGCAGGACACCGAGCTCCCAGCTCCCAGGATTTCTGCTCCCAGGGCCTGAGCAGGACCCGTGGCAGCGACCCTAAGGATGCTCTTTCGGCTCCTCGCACCCCAAAGCCCCCCCTTTTTCCCATTAAAAGTGGGTTTTTGCAAAGCTTCCACGTGGATTTCTGGAGTGAAGCAACGAAGACGAAGCACTGACGCGCTCAGCAGTGTGAAAATTGACGGTTTTTGACTTAATTTGTCTATAAACTCGTCTTACTCCACGAGGTTGCTGTCAGCTGGTGACCGAGCTTCCATTTGCCCAGCCTGGCCAGAGGCTGCTTGTGAGAATCCCGTTGCCGCATCCTGCTTTTTTTCACCCCAAATTCATTCGGAGGCTCCATGGCTCTGTCTCTCCCTTTCCAAGGCAGCGTTCACACCGTGCGAAGCTCCTCAGGTGGAACCCAAACGACGTCCGGGCGTTTTGGGGCAAGAAACCTCCTTCAGAGGGGGCTGGAACCGCAGAGGCTGAGCCCCCGCCGTGGTATCTGGCTCCTTTTGGTAACATTTTTGGTAAAAGAAGCGCCCCCATCCCCTGCCCCGCAGGACCGAGCCCTCCTCGCGTGGGGAGAAGCTTCCCCAGGTGCCTTCGGACGCGAGCAGCTCCCAAATTGCCGTCCTGGAGCGGCTTCGGAGCGCGGCAGCTGCTCAATTTGTGGCCGTTAATTGGGCTGCACCTCCCAAATTCTTCCTGAAAGCTCCCAATTTACCGGGGGCGATGCGATCCCGAACAATTCTGCTCCTCCACCGGGCCCACGTCGGAACCGTTCTGTAAATCCAGCCCCAAAATTGCTGCCACGCTGCTAAACCTCGCCTCTGTCCACATTTCCAGCAGCTTTCCCTCAAAATTACACCCGACGAGGCTCGCTTTTCCTTTTTTTCCCCATTTTCCCCGCTGGAAGCTGCCCACGAATCCACGCCGACGGAGCCGAGCTCCCCAAAACCATCCGGGATACGGAATAACGAGGGGACAGGACTAACGAGCTGCCCAAACGCCCGGTGCTTTATTAGAGCCGTGCCATTTTACCGATGCCACACCGGGCCGGGATGGAGCTCGCAGCCCCGCGGTGCCGGCCGGTCTCCAACCAGAAATCGGGCTCCCATCCTGAGGAATTTACCCCAAAAAAAACAACAAAAACCAAGCGGAATGGGGAAAGCTCCTTGCCTCCAGCTGCTGTCGGTTTGTGCGGTGTTCGCAGAGATTTCTCCGGCTGGGGAACCTCCCCGATTCGTCTCCTGCAGACACTTTTGGCCTTTTGGCCACAAATTTGGGCCTGAGGGCACCAAAACCCAGCGGCCGGGAGGATCCCAAACCTGCGGGGGGCTGAGAGCGGAGATCGGCTCCTGTCCCGCGACGTCTTCACCTCCGATGGTTTTTATTCCCATGGGTGATTTCCTTCAAACTTTGGGTTTTTTTTTTGGAGAAAGGAGCGGGGGCCACGAGCTCACGGGGTGGCTTCGGCAGCCAGGAGATGCTCCAGGGCTCGATTGAAGCAGCCCGGTGCTGCCCGCGGTGCCTGGGGACGGTGCCGCGGGCGTTATCTCTTATCAGGAAAGCCCCCAGCCCTGGTTTTCCCCCCCTGGGGGGCCGGGGGGGGCGGCAGCATCTTGGGCTCGGCGCCTCCTCGGGAGAAAGAGCAGAAAGCGCAGGCGAGCGCGGGCCCTGGCGCCGCTCCTAGGGGCTGAGAGCTTTTTGGGTGAAAAAACGACGAAATGCTCCTCGCCTGCTCCCCCCCTCGCAACTCCCACCCCCAATTTCATCCCCCCCCCCCCCAAAAAAAAAACAGACAGCAGGGATTTGGGGAGGGGGGGGGGGGGGATCAGCAAAGCCCGCGGGAAGGATGCTGGGGGGGGGGTTCGGAGGAAACTTGAACGCCGGGAGCCGAATTTTACCCGGTTTTAAGGAGGAAACGGGTTTCTTTTGTTGTTTTTTTTTGGTTTTGTTTTGGTTTTTGGAGGTGTCGGTGGATTATTTTGGGCCCCCCCTTTGTGCTTTCAGCCGGCTTTGGAGTGGGGGAGACGGCGATAACGGGAACCGGGGGGGGAGGTTTTGGGGTGGGGGGCGTGTGTGGGGATGGGGGGGGGTCCCCAAAGGCGATGAGGGGGGGGGAAAAAGTGGGGGGGTGAAGGGGAGAAGGGGGTGGGGAAAGGAGGGTGCTGGGGGGAGAAGGGGGGTGTGGGGGGGGGAATGGGGGATGCTGAGGCGGGAAGGGGGGGCTTTAAGGGACAAAGGGGGGGCTTTGGGGGGTGACCCCCGCCCCCCCCCCGGGGGTCGCCGCCATTTGCAGGCGCGGGGAGAACAAAGCGCGGCGGGAACACGGAGATGGGGGGGGGGGGGGGGCTGGAAAAAGACCCCCACCCCCCCCTATTCCCCCCCTCCTTCCCTCCCCACCCCCCTTTAGCCCCCCGGGGGGGGGTCTCCCCCTCATGCCCCCCCCCCCCGGGCCCTCCCCCTCCCCTTTTTTCCCCCCCCCCCCCCTTCCCCTCCTCACCGCCGGCCCAACGGCCGCCCGCCGCCATTTTGTCTCCCCAGCACAATGGGGCCGCGCGGGGCGGGAGGAGGAGGAGGAGGAGGAGGAGGAAGGAGGCGGGGGCCAGGTCAACCCCCGGCCCCCCCCCCCGGTACCGCCCCCGCTGCCCCAACCGGGCCCGGCCCCCCCCCCCGCCTCCCCCCCCCCCTCCCATTCGGGGCCTACCGGGCCTGGTGGGGGGGGGGGGGGGGGCCGCAGAGGCGGTGCCCGGCCCGGGTGGGGGGCGCTGGGCCCGGCGGGGTTGGGCCCGGCCCGGGTCGGCTCCGACTGCAGCGGGGGGGGGCGGAGCCGCCGCCGCCGCCACCGGCGGGAGTGGAAGGGGGGGGGCGGGGAGGGGGGGGATAAACCGCGCTGAGGGGGGGGGGGGGCAGGGTCACGTGACGCCGCCACGGCGCTCTTCAGCCAATGGGAGGGGAGGGCGGGGAGGTTTATGGGGGGGGGGGGGGCGTGCGCGCCCCCGGTGCTGCGTGCGCGCCGCCGGGCCCCGCCCACATCGCCCCCCCCCGCCCCTCACGGTGTGCGCATGCGCGGGGAGGGCTCCCCTCAGTGGGGGGCGGGGGGGGGGCGGTTAGGGGGGGTCTTGGTGGGCTGGGGGGGTCGTGGGGGGCCCTGGGGGGGTCGTGGGGCTTTTTGGGGAGATCGCAGGGGTCCTTAAGGGGATCTTTGGGTTCCTTGGGGGTCCCTAAGGTTATTGTGGGGATCCCTGAGGGGGTCCCTGAGGTGATTGTGGGGCTCCCTGGGGGTCCCTAAGGTTATGGGAGTGCCTGAGGGGGTCCTGGGGCTCCCTGAGGGGGTCCTGGGGCTCCCTGAGGGGGTCCTGGGGTTCCCTGAGTGGGACCCAGGCGGCCTGAGGGGATCGTGGGGGTCCCTGAGGGGGTCTTGGACCTTCCTAGGGGGATCCTGGGGTCCCTGAGGGGGATTTGGGGGCTCCCTGAAAGGGACCCCAGTGGCCCGGAGGGGAAGGGGTACGAGGGGCTGGGGTCCCTCGGCCCCTTCAGCCTGGAAGGGGGCTGAATTTTGGGTAGAGCTGTGTGGGGCTGGGGGTTGGACCGGACGATCCTCCCGGGACCACCCCGACTCAGGCCCCTCTGGGGTTCCCGTGGGTTCAGCGAGGATTCAGGCCCTAAAAAATGGCAATTCTCCTGGGTGGGGTTTCTCCTGACCGGGATCGCTTCATTTCCCTTTGTTACCACATCCTTGTGAGCTCGCAGTGCCACGGAAACAAATCTCCTTTTTCTCCCTCATTTCAGGAATGAAATCCCCACGCAGAGCCGCGCTGCTGAAGGCTGAGCTGACCCCGAATTCCGAGGCACAGGATTTGCAGCCCCCACCTCTCGGTGCTCTCCGTGCCCACCTCCACTTTCAGAAACGAAGGCAGAGGCAGGGGTCGGCTCAGGGTAGTCCTTTATCTCCACCCACCAAAACATCCACCTCAAAATGAAAGCATTTTTACAAACACCACGACATCGACACCACTTAGCTCTGCATTAAAACACCGGGAGGAATTATTACAGTCACATGGAGGTTATGCAGAACCTTACAGCGTACACGGCAGAAATTAAAACCCTGGAAACATCCGAAGTCTGGGTCCAGACAGACAGCCTACGGGGACAAACCGCTTTGTATATTCGTTAAATATCCAAAAGTTTCAAGGGGAAGAGATTTCATTTGCCAGATTGTGACGTAGCACTGGTTTGTACACATGCTCAAAGGAAATTCTCCTAGTACAAAGCCATCTAAAAAACAGAGACTGCACAAAACCTAGCTACTAAAATGAAGATTTGGTAAAAAAAAAAAAATAAATCTATTTTCCAAAAACACTTTACAGGTAAAGGCTTCCACTGCCCTAAGTGAGTTTAGTAGAATGGTAACGCAAAATGTGCTATGAAATTCACAGATACAGTTATGCTTTTTTAATTTTTTTTTAAAAAAGATGTCAGGTCTTTTACACATCAGCTTTCCCATCCAACATTGTACTTATTCAGCATCCTCATCCTCTGCAGCAGCAGCTTCCTCGCTTTCTTTGTCCTCGTCTTCTACCTTCCCACCTTCTGGCTGCTGCTCCTCTTCCTCGTGGACGGATTCCTCTGTGGGTTGCGAGGTCTCCTCTGTGTTTTCTGCTCCTGCCTCCACCTCTGTTTGTGCTTGGGGCTGTGCCTCAGTTTCTGTTTCTGGCCCCATTTCTTCTTGCTCCTCCTCAATTTTAGCTCCTTCTGCTTCTGGGTTCTCCCCAGGATCCTTGTTTTCACCGTCTAGATTTTCCTCCTTGTTCTCACCATCCAGATTTTCCTCCTCCTTGTTTTCGCCATCTAGATTTTCCTCCTCCAGATTCTCTTCATCATCCTTGTTTTCATCTGTTCCTTCCGCTGTCCCTTCCTCTGCGTTTCCGCTGGTTCCCCCTTCTCCTTCCTCGTGCTCCTCTTTTTCTTCCAGATCATCTGTGAAAGGATTCTCGCCCTGAAAGAGACGACACACGTTTGCCTGCTGACAGTTTCTCTCCAGCTGCTAACGTCACACCCGAGGAGCTCACACCAGGCACACACCAGCTCCGTGCAAAACCTCCCAGAAAGTTTTTGGTTTTTTTTTTTTGTTTTTTTTTTCAATCACTACTGAGTGACTACCAAGTTCTGTGTAAGCGTGCGTGCTACAGACATCCTGCTGGAGGCCTCAGGATTTGGAGCAGCACGTGGGGCAGATATTTCGTCACCAGCACAGCAGAGGCTCGACCAGCAACCCAACGTGGTATCAGGATGCCCCAAACTGCCCTGAGGTTCAGCTAAAAACCACTCCCTGCAGCCAAACCGCAGCTGCTGCCCAATTCCAACAGCACAGCAGAGCTGCTGCCTGCTCAACCCAAGCCCAAGCTGCCCCGCGAGCACCCACCTTCAGGTACCGCTCCAGTTTCTTGCTGATGAGTTTGTTGTTCAGAATGCTTCTCGCAACTACGAGCGAGGATTTCTTGGACTGCTCCATCATGGCCTGCAAGGGAGCACAAAGGAAGCACGCTAATTAGATTTCAGCCTCAATTAGCTGACAAGTCCAGAAGTTACGGCCACAGCTGAAAACAGCTTCCAGGGGCACCCGCCCAGAGCACGCTCAGGAATTTGGGAAGAGGACAAGATTTAAGAAATCTGCGTTTTTACGCATGTTCCCAAATTTTGTGCTGGACGTGGCTTTGGAAAGATAAAGAACAGGCAACCAAGGAGGGACCCTTGGCGAGGAACGCACTGCCCAGGGTCGTGATTCTACGATCCTAAGGACACCTGGCTCGCTTCACCCAGCTCCACAGGTGGGATTACTGCAGCTTTCAGTCTCTGAACATTGAAGTTTAAAGCCTGTGCACTCTGATTGTGCTGACACGTGAGGAAACAACAGCAGAGCGCACTACAGGTAATTAGGAAAAATTCTCCCTGGTCTCAGGAACCAGGTGAAGCAAACCCAGCCACTTTTCGGCTCTGTTCTTGCAGCTGAAGCCTACAAAACCCCCGACGTGGGATTCCTGTGGCAGAAGCCAGGCTGTGGGGGCCAGCCAGAGGCGCCAGGCTGCGCGCTCACCCTGCGGTTGTGGTTGTGGTCGAGAGACTTCAGGTGCTTCTGGATGATGCCGTACTGCATCGGGATGAAGAGGTCACAAGCAGCACAGTGAGCAGCCTCCACCTTCTTAATAAAATGCTCCATGCCAACATCTGGAAAGGAAGGGAAGAACGGAGTTAAGCCAGAAGTCATCTGGGGGACTGCACTGGGAGCCAGATCTCCCTGCAGCCCGCATCACAAACTCATTTTCAACACCCAAAAGGTGTTGAAAATGAAGGAACTCTCTTCCATGCCCCTGTGCAGGCACTCACCTTGCGTAAGATCTTGGTCCCTGTAAATCTGCTGAATAACTGCATTAATGTCTTCGATTGCTTTACGGCGCTCTTCAGTTTTCCTAGTTTTATTAGCAACGTATTCCTGTAAGGCAGAGTATTTGTGTTAAGTCCTTTCTTTCCCTTCCCTCTCAGATGCATCTCTCTAGCCTGTTCATCCTCTCAGTCCTGCAAAAACCACCCGCACGTTGTCCCACACACAGTGCTATTTGAGCACTTCCAACACCCACTCTTGCCATAAAACCCACGGTAATCAGGGATTTTCTCTATTTTCTGCCACTGCAACCAGTAAGAGCAGAGTTCAGTGACCTCTTCAAAGTGAGAGGGCAGTGAAGGCACAGCTGGAATAGCAGCTCTGCTACCTTAGCCCAACTTTACTCCACCTCCTCTAGCAGCTTCACACACTGCTCAGTTCAAAGTGGCTTTTCAGCAGCTTTTCAGCCTCTCCAAAATAATAACAGCAAAAAAAAACAACAAAAAACTCTCAAGTCTTGGGGACTAACATAACCAGAGGCTCACCTGGAGAAAGTCTGCTGTCTGTTGAGGCAGTTTGGTTCCGACAAACTTGAAGTGTTCCTTGTGGAATTTACTCTCGAGGTGGCTGTTCATCTCATCGTCGTAGAAGGTCCGGTACTTGCATAGGGAACAAACAAACTGGATCCTGTTGAGACAGCTGGATGTGAACGGAAGGGATGTTCAATCCACTCCAGCTCTCTGCTCTGTAAAAACCTGCTCACTGGGTCTACAGCTAACGGGGAGCAGACAAAGCCCTACTCATGCAAGACTTCAATCCTTTCAGTGTTTCTGGGACGTGCCCCAGAGATTTTCCCTTTTCTGTATCAGCGTGGAAGGATGCAACCAAAATCTCAAGGTTCATCTCAACCAGAACATGCAAACGTCACAGTCAAGATGACTGGGAGGAGAGCAAAGCTCTCCTAAGGGAACAGGCAAAGCACTGGGAAAAGGAAGCAAAAAGGGAAGGACCCAGGCTAAGACTGCTACTGCCCTCGCAGAGAAGGAAGCAACATCACTTAAAAAAAAAGGAAAAAAAAGGTAAAAGGGAGAATTACCTTTCTACCATACGATCCCGATGCCTCTTCTTTTGCCTCTCTTGAGTTTTCTTGCCCGCCTGCAATTTGCGTTTGATTTGACTGATCTCTTCTTGAATTGTTAAAGCACCTAAGTGTTTAAAGCAGGGTGTATTTCAGGGCACTACTCGAGGACACCACCTGATTAAAGAGAATTTCCCTGGACAAGTTTAGTAGTTGGCCCGACCAACACGCACAGCCCAGAGACACCTCTGAGTCGAGAAGCTGCTCCCTTGCAGTGCCTCCCTCTGGCCAATTACCACTGCACCCCATTTCCACCACGCTGCCATCCCTCTGGTGCGTTTGGGGAACGTGGCACAGGCGAAAGAAACACCCAAAGTTGTTTCCTCAGCCTTTATTTTCATTTACTCTTTCTGCTTTTACCAGGTTTTAAATCAATTGGTTATGGGTTTGATTTTTAAGTGCCACCCATTCTGAGTTGTTCAGCCTCATAATGGAAAAAAAACACAAAAAGGGTAAGGGGAACCAATTTACAGCACCGTTATTTTCGAGATGGAGAAGCAGCTTCTCTGTCTGCCCGCCCCGGTGTACCCACAGGCACATCAGTCCCAAATTTAGCTCCGCAGCAGCAGGGTGGGCAGCACGGACCCAGCACACACCCTGCAAGCAGCTCTCCCTTCCAGCCCTCCTGCTCCTCTGGCTTGCTCAGCACTTCCACCACTACCCCATGGAGCGGGACGTGCCTGCAGAGCTCCATGCTCCTTCCCCAGCCCAGTGACTTCCCCAAATCTACGGCACGGCACGAAATCGAATCCCTGAACCCCGTTCCCTACGCCCCAAGCTGGCAGCTTCCCCAAACCTACCTTGAGCAAGGGCTCCAGCTCCTCCCTAGCAGGGCTTTTACAGCATTTCCTTATCCCTGAGCAGACACAAAGGATGGGATTGGGCTGACAATGCAGGCGTTGGAGCGGAGCCAGCCCCTGTCTCGGTGGGGATGGGGCAGGTCCCATCCTGAAGAGCAGCTGAGCCGTGCCCCATCTCTCTCCGCCAGCCCTGGCGACGCCTTCCCACCAAAGCCTCACCCGTGCCGAGCCCTGCCAGCTCTCCCTGCTGGGAGCCCACCCCTAGCACTTAGCCCAGCGTCCCCAGGAGACTTTGGGGACATTTGCAGAAGCCGAAAGCTGAACAGATTTGAAAGATTTAGCTGTAAATCCCCTCTGGCCACCTCAGAGCCCTCAGCTGGAGGTGGGTCACGCTCCGCGCACAGCCTCCGAGCACGCACAAGCCTCTGCTCTCTGTTCTGTGAGCTGCCACGCACGCACACCAACTCACCTTTCTCAGAGTCTCTTCCTTCATCGTCTTCCCCCTCCTAAAATGCAACATCGGGATGTTAAGGCCATCCAAATTCACGCATTAGCCTATAGAGAGCGAATGTCTGGATGCTACCTCAACATTTGCCCCTCAACCCCTCCCCAGGCGCTCCACGCGGGGCACAGAACCTCCAGCAGACCTGACCCTCAGCAGCCAGCACAGCCAGAGGACCCCAGAGCACATCGCAGCAGATTTGGGTTTATGCTGCCGTCCGTTTCCCCACATTACTCATTTTGGGATTAATGTGGGAGCCCAGCGACCCACCCTCGGTAGCTGCAGCACCACTCCCACCGCGGCTTTCATGACGAGCAAGTTTTCGAGAGTTACTTACACCTCTGGAACCCTCTTTCTCCTCTTTTTCTCCCGATTCTCCTTCGGTTCCCTCCTCTGAAAGGAACAGCGTGGTCAGTGTAGGCAGAAACCCCGCTGAGACCCCCCCGGAACAGATTTACCCCCCCCAGAAGGCACAGTGAAGCGGGCTGAGTGCCAGCTTTGCTCTCACCATTGTCAGAGTCGGAGTTATCGGAGCCGTCCGTCTTTGCCGCCTTGCTGTCGGGTTCCTCGGAGCTGTTGGTTTGCTTCCGCTTCTTCCCGGTGGGGTCCTTCTTCATTTTCTTCTTTTGCTGCTGCGAGAGAAGAGAAGGGTTAATCCCTGCGGTAAAGGCAGGCGCCCTCCTCATCCAGCAATGTTTTATTTTACTCCTTTATAGCTGAGTTTTAATAATTTACTCGTTTATAAGCCTCCTGCACACACAGGTAGGTTTCCAATGGGCAGAGCTGAGCAGACAGGACAAAATCCACCACCAGCATCTCTCTAATACAACAGATTAAACCCCAAGTAACACCGACTAAGAAAAGGAAACTTCTAGGAAAGAAACTTTTCTTTTAGGAAACAAAGTTTTGAGATTAACGCATCGCCCACACGAACACTGCTCTGCGGCTGAGCCTTGGTCTGCTGTGGAGGAAAAAAAGCCACGAAGCCAAGCCAGAACGGCGTGGTACCACTTCCCAGGGCACATTTTGGAGCCAGTTGGGAAACGTTTAGCTCAAGACCCAGCAGGCGGGAGGATGCTGCCACAAGCACTTACTTTGAAGTCCGAGTCCCACATCTTCCAGTTCCTCCTCATGCGCTGTTTCATCATGCCTCCCCCGAAGCGCATGTTCCCCGAGAAGCCTCGCATGCCCTGGAACATGCCGAGCTCGGGGATGATGTTGTGGGAGAAGAGGGAGGGGAGCCGGGAGGAGCCGTGGGGGCCGAGGCCCCGCGCCCCCATGCCCTGCGGGGGCTCGTTCCACTGTCCGCCCATGCGCCCGGAGTAGGACGAGGCCGGGGGTCTGTTATTGCGCCCGTCGCGCGCCCAGTTCTGACCCCGCTGGCCGAAGTTGTCCCGCGCCCTGTTCTGGTACTGGTCCCTGCGGTTCCCGTAGAAGCTGTCGTAGTGCCCTTCGTAGTGCCCGTCGTAGGGGCCGTCGTAGTGCCCGTCGTAGGCGCTGTCGTTGTCGTGCTCGGCCTCGTTGTAGTCGTAGCCGGCTCGGTAGAGGTCGCGGTCGTTCATGGAGGACCGCGAGTCGTAGGACTCGTACGAGTCGTACCTGCGGGGGGAGAACGCCGAGGCACTGCGTTAGAGCCCACTCTGCACGTGGCGGAGGCGCTTCCTTCGTGCTGGAATTAGAGACGGGCCGGCCTGCATCGACCGGAGAGGAGAAAACCCAAACCCAGCAACGAGTCGGGCTTCAGACACCGAGCTACCGGCCCTCGTGAGCACAGAAATAAGAGACCGGAGGGAGGACAATTTGGCAATCCCGCTCAAGAACTGCTCGGTAAAAAAAGCTGGGAAATTAAACTCAGACCGAACGGCTCAGCACAGCGCCTCTTTTCCCTTCGCATTGCTCTGGGAGTTCTCAAGCAAGAACACGAAGAGGAACGAGGAGGATGCTTCTCAGTCGTGTTGAAGAACACGAAATCTCCCCCGCGAGTGGCAAACACCCAGCTTTTAAGTACCAAAGACAGATTTTTTTGGGCAAGACATCGACGCCGACCGGGCGCGAGAGCTTTCAGCAGTGCTCACCTGTCCCCCCCCGAGCCGTAGTGCCCTCCCTGCATCGTGTCCGCGTCCAGGGGCGGCCCCACGTCCAGGCGCTGGTTCATCTTGGCGATGACGGCGTCGCTGGAGCCGTCGGGGTTCATGTCCACGTCCGAGCCGCCCATCTCCCACGAGTTGGAGGTGGCCATGCCGTAGCCGTAGTTGCCCGAGTTGTCCTGCCCGTAGCCGTAGCCATAGCTGTAGCCCTCGTACCCTGGAAGAAAACCATGAGCTGCTTTCATTTCTGGTTATTAATGCTTTAATTTCTGGTTATTAACGCTTTAATTTGTGGTTATTAACGCTTTAATTTCAATTCGGATGCAAAAGCACCCCTGCAATCACCACAGGGAATTTAAACAAACAAAAAATGAATTAAATTTTAAAATTAATAATACATAAAATTTAATTATTTAAAATTTAATTATTTAAATTTGATAATAAATTTAAATAAATATTTTTTTTTCAAATTTAGCCTTTTCTTCCCCATCCCTTTTACGTGCTGGGACGCGTGTAAAGGTGTGCACGTAGCTCGGAACTGTGCAGAGCTCCTTCTGCTGCCTCCCCAGCACGGAATTTACACCACAACCTGCCCCAACCTCGCTCAAATTAATCCAAGTAAAAAAAAAAAAAAGCCAAAAGGCTTTTTTAAAGGGGCAGAAAAAGCCTCCTATCTCGACCAGAACAGGTTTCCCTGCACACGCAGCATCAGGAGCAGCAGCAGAGAAGTTTTTCTGCTTGTTCTGCTGAGTTCAACGAGAACTTTAAAATCAAAGAAAGCAGCTGCAAAAAAAAATAGAAAAGCCACGAGGCTGCACGGGCTCGATGCTACAGCAGGACTCGTTCACCGACCTCAGCACATCTCTCACAGGAGCAGTGAACAGGTTTGAAGCCAAGAAACCAGAAAACTACCCAAGTTTTCACCGCAGTTACCTCTGTTTGTCCCAGAGTTCCACTCTCCATAACCTAGAAAAGACGAAAAAAAGCTGTTAGAGGTTTCTTTAGGGCGCTTTGATTGCAGCCGAAGAGATTCTCGTTAATTCACAGCAGAAAAGAGCAGCGCCCTGAAAAGCCAAGCCCAAAACGGGCCGGCCCAAAACATCAACCAGGCAATGACAAGCAGGACACGGCCCCCAGAAAGCAAAATCCGTGCGCAGATTTTGTAAAACCTGAAGTTCAGGACAGGATCCTGAACACTTCGAGAACACTTTGAGCCCCCCCAGCTTCCTGCAGCGGCTTCGGAAGGGGCTGGGACCCCCACGGACACTTGCTCCCAGCGGGGTCAGCCCCAACGTGAAGGTTTTGGGGGTGCAGCAGCGGGGCTGGCGTCCCCCGGGGACCCCACGAGGAGCCCAAAAAGCGGCCCCGGGACTCGGGGGAAGTTTGAACCCCACCAAACCAACCCCGAGCCTCCCGGGCCTGACATTCACCTGCCCTTTCAGGGAGAAATCCCTTCTCCGCGCCCTCTCGTGCTTTGCCCTCGGGGGAAAGCAGCTGAAAAGGGCAGAATTTGGGAGCGGGAGAGCGCCGGGGAGCCCCGAGCCACCCCGGCACCTGCTGGAAACCGTTAGGCAGTGGTAATTACCAAGCCAATTAGTCTCATTAGCGGCCGGCGGCTTCTGCTCACCGAAACCGAGCCGTCAGATCTGGGGAAGGCGCCGCTGCCCGGCGGGTAATTGGGGGGGGAGGGGGGGTCCTCCCCAAATAAAAACTGGTTATTTAGGGGAAATTCGTTATTATAGTGGAAAAGGTGTGAAAAGAGCAGGAGCCGAGGGAAGGAGCAGGGCCGAAAGCTGGGGAATTGGGGCAAAAAGCAAGGAGTTTGGGCAAATGCCTCCTGAATTCAGGCAAAAAGCGGGGAGAGGCTCCTGTAATTGGGGAAAAAAATCCTGATTTGGGGGAGAAAAAAGGGGGGAACCTCAGGAATTTGGGCAACAGTAGGGGGAAACCTGGGGAATTTGGGCAAAAACCTCGTGAATTTGGGCAACAGCGAGTGGAAATCTGGAGAATTGGGGTAAAAAACTCGTGAATTTGGGCAAAAATGGGGGGAAACCTCATGAATTTGGGCAAAAACCTCGTGAATTTGGAAAAAAGCGGAGGGAAACTTGGAGAATTTGGGAAAAAACGGGGGGAACGTCAGGAATCTGAGCGAAATCGGGGGAAAACCTCGTGAATTTGGGCAAAAACCTCCTGAATTCGGGTAAAAGCGGGGGGAAAACTGGGGAATTTGGGCAAAAAACTGATGAATTCGGGCAAAACCGGGGGAAACATCAGGAATTTGAGCGAAATCGGGGGAAAACCTGGGGAATTTGGGTGAAAACCTCCTCAATTTGGGCAACCCCCTCCTGGACCCGGGCACAACCGCCCCGTTCTCCGTCACTTTCGCCGGCTCCCGGCGGGCTCCGGGGGCCGCTCCCCTCCGGCCCTCGGGCCCCGGGGGGGGCTCGGGAAGGCCCCGCCGCCGACCTCAGGGGCCCCCCCCCGGGAGCCGCCGCCCGGTGCCGGTCCCCGCGGGGCCGCCCCGCCGCCATCTTGCGCCGCCGCCCTCACCTGAGTAGCTCATGATGGCGGCCCCGCCGCCGCCTCCTGCGCCAGACGGTAACGGCGGCCGCGCCCCGCCCCCCCGCGTCCTATTGGCCGGCGGGGCTCCACCGCCCGCCTCCGCGCCGCCGTCATTGGCCCGGCCTCCCCGCGGCTCGCGGCTCCTATTGGCTGTCCCCGGACGTCGCTCACCGCCCCCCGGCGTTTCCACAGGGCGGCCCCCGCGGCGATTGGCGGGGCCGGGTGTCAATCGCCGCGCCTCCGGCGGTTTCTCAATGGCCCCGGGGAAGGAGAGCGTTGATTGGCCGGCGCCGCCGTCACCTGGCGGGAAGGCGTTGCCGCTTTTACTCCGGGCTCTGATTGGCCAGCTGAGGGGCGGGCCGAGCCTTGCCTGGACCAATGGCGCGGCGGCCCCGCCTCGAACCTCCAGCGCCGCCACAACGGCTCCGGTTCGGCGCTTGGCCCCGCCCCTCCCGTGCCGCCATTGGCTGCGGCCGCCAGCGGGCCCCGCCCCCGAGGGCGCGCGCGCGCGCCCAAGCCGCGTGGTGCCCTCAGACCGCGGGAACCCAGCGCAGCCCCCACGTGGCTCCCGTGGGTGGCCCCGAGCTGGCGTCACGCGTGGACGTGTCCCCCTCCCAGCGCCCCCAGACACCGGGACAGGGCCCCCACGCCCCGGGGGTCCCGTTCTCGGTGTCCCCGCGGCCCCGGAACGCGTCCCAAGCGCGGTGTCCCCGCCCCACCGGGACACGTTCCAGCTCCGCTGTCCCCACACCCTCGGATCCCGCTGCCCCCACAGCCCTGGGCCGTGTCCCAACCCCACTCGGGGTCCCCGCGCCCTTGGTCACGGCCACACCGTGAGCCCTTAGCGCTGTCCCAGCCCCCCCATTAACGGGCACGGCCCCACCTGGACCTCAGGTGTCCTTTTCCCGGGACACAGCCCAGCCCTGCTGTCCCCACCACTGCGGTGACACCCCACGGCCACCCAACCCCTGCAGGGCCACGTTTCCATCGCTGCCCCCCTTCCAGGAGTGGGTTCGACCACCCCCGTGGCCCTAAAAAGCCTCGTTTCCCCCCAAAAAAAGCCTCTGCGAGGACCCCACAAGGGCTGGAGCCAGGGGCCGCCCCCCACGCACCACACTCCAGCCTCCCGGGGGTCGTTTCCAGAAGAGTTTAATCTAATGTACATATTCCCGGGTACATTAATAACCAGAATATGCCCGATGAAAAAAGTTAAAAGGTTCGATTTCCCTCTGAGCCGTGCTGGGCTCGGGACTTGGAAATAAAAATGAATGCTCCTTATTTTTTTTTTTTTTTCCTCTACACAAAACTAGAGTTAAAAAAGTCGAAGGTCTATGCAGCTAGACGAAGGGGGGGGAGAAAAAAAAGCAACAGTGAAGGGGGCTGGGGCGGAGGGGAGACGGCAGCGGGGTCAGAGAAACGGCCCCGACCCCGTGGCCGCCGCCGCTCCCCGGCCCCCACGGGGGGCTGGTGCCCACCGCTGCCCCTCCGACTGCCGCCGCCCAGCGTCACCGGTGCCGGGAGCCCGCGGTCCCGCGTGAAACGGGGGTGGGTGGGTGTGTGGGGGGGGGACACCGGATGGCGAGGGGCCGAAGGAGGCGGGAGCGGTGAATCCGTGACTTTGCCGTTTCCGTGGCGGAAGGGGGGCAGCGTTTGGCCCCCGGGGGGAAGGGGAGCTGGGCAACATGCAACCCCGCAACAACGGACGCCGACACCTAGGTGAGCTAAACTCGTCGTCTACGCACATGGAATATACAGGAACTCGAGGGCCATATACAAATCCCACAGCGCTCGCCGGGCCGAGCTGCTCCCCTCCCAGCCGGCGCGGCGTCTCGCTCCCCCCCCCCTGGCCCCGAGCCGGCAGAAGCGGCCGCAGCTCCCCCGTCTTTGGGCTAAAGCGGCCCCGAGGCCGGGACCGGGGGTCCCCCTGCCCCATCCCAAGCCAGGGAACCGGCCTCGAGTGGCCCCCCCACCCCCCCCAGCGGTGGGACCCCGGGGCAGAGTCCAAACCCCGCTGCCGGCGGAGGGGCGTCTTGTTCCATGTAGTGCTTGTGGCCGGGGCCCCCCCGAAGCCCGGCTGGAAAACCGTGTGCTGGGTTTGGGGGGCTGAGGTTTGCTCCGTGGGGGGGGGACGTGCAGGCACAGGGAGGGGTGGAGGGCGCCCCCCGGGGGGCAGCTCCATCGCCGAGCCTGGGCCGGCTCCGTTACTGAGCCTCGGCCACGGCGGGGGGTTCAGGGGGCCGGGGCTTCGCCCCGCAAGGGGTCTGCTTTGGAGAAATTCATTTCCAGGATGTGTCGCTGGAGGTGCCGCACCCACTCCTCCTGGATGGAGAGGGGCCCCTGGAACTCCACCTCGCAGAACCTGTGGGGACAGCGGCGTCAGCTCGGGCTCTGGCCGAGGTTTCTCCATCGGCCCCCCCGGGGGCAGCTGCCAGCTGAGACCCCTGGAGAGCGGGGTCGGCGTGGGGTGAGGAAGGGCAACCACGAGGACTCGGTGCCGCTGCCCTCCCTGGAAGGAAACCCCCCCCCAAATCCCTCCCGGAGCCAACCTACCTGCACTTGAGGGTGTAGATGTTACCCACAAACTTCACCAGGGAGGTCTGCGGCGGGCGGGGGACCAGGGAAGGCACCGGCCTCATCCTCGGCGGCGGCTGGCGCGTCTCCTCCATCTTCTGCTGGAAGTCGGCCCCTTCCTCCTCCCGGTGCAGGGGGTTATCCAGGGGCCTCGCTTGCCTCCGCTCGAACTCTGCAGGGGGGGAGAATGAGGGACAAAAAAAATGTGTCACGGCGGAGGGGGCACGGTGCAGGGCGGCCTCTGAAGTGTGGGGGGAGGATCTCGGGTAGAGAGCTCCCCCACACCCCCAAGGGTGGGCAGAGGGGACGGGGCAGGGGCTTCTCGGTGCTCCGCCAGCTCCCTCCGGTGCTGGAGCCCCCCCTCTGCTGCTTGGCTCCCGACTCACTGTGGATATTGGGGCGCTGATGCTCCTCCATCTTCACCAGGGAGAGGGGAGAGGTGACCATGGGGCGCTCGCCGCCGCTTCCCCCGTCCAGCATCTTCCCGGGCTCGCCGTGCGCCAGGTCCGCGGCCAACCCTTTGCTGAGCAGGGCCACGCCGCCGGGCTGCAGGCTCAGGGGCATCCTCCGGGCGCCGTCGTGGTCCCGGGCGTGCGAGGAGTTGCGGAATTTCTTGGTGAAGGGTCGGCCGCCCTGGATGTAGCTGCGGTAGGCGCCGGCTTTTTGGGGCCGGTGCCGGATCCACTCGCTCAGGGTCTCGATGGGCGAGCCGTTGACGCACCACTCGGTGACGCCGAACTGCCGGAGGTGAGCCCGCGCGTGGCTGGCCAGGGCCTTGCGGTTCTCGAAGTAGAGGCCGCAGAGCTCGCAGCAGGCTTCGCTGGCTGGGGGGGGGGCGTGGGGCAGGGGGTGAGCGGGGGGGGCTTGGGGACAGATCCCCGGCCCGGCCGTGTCCCCGCCACCACCCGTTTGCAGCCTGTTGAAGGGAAATCCCCCCCCCATTCTGGTTTCTGTTGCATGATGAGCTCCAGGAGGCTCCTGCTGAGGGGCTGGTGGAGACCCCAGAGCCAGGGGAGGCTCCAACGAGACAGGCTAACGGGGACCGGGGACGCCAACCGGGCCCCAAATCCCCACTCGCCTCTCCCCGATGCGCTCTGGGTCCCCGCTGGAGACACCCTGGAGCAAGGAGCTCGCTGCTGCCAGCCCCAGCACGATGCCACAGCGCTGCGTGACAAAGCCCCGCTCCCCCCAGCAGCCCCCGGGGACCCCCCCAGCCCCCCGCCGCGGGCCCTGCCACGCACCTCCCCGTGCGTCCTGACTTACAGGTGTGCGCGGGTTTGTCGTGCACGGGCTTGGTTTTGAAGGGCAGCTCGGTCTGGATGTAGGCCTTGTGCTTCACCTCGGCGTGGGGCCCCAGCCGCTCGTCCTGCAGCGGCCGTTTGGCGGACAGCGGCGTCAGGAAACCGCCCTGGGGTTTGGCAGCGAGCGACGCCAGGGACAGCTCCCGGCCCAGGCTGGAAGCGCCAGGGCTGGGCTTCCCCGTCCGGCCGCCCAGCGGAGGCAGGGCCATGCCCTGCAGCATTTTGCCGGGGGCTTTGGGGTCCGTCCCCTCCTCCCCGAGAGCTTTGGGGGGCTCGATGCTGGAGGTGTGAGGCTCCTTCTTGATGACGCAGGGCTTGGATTTCTTCTTGAGGATCTCCCGCAGGGTGTCGATGGGCGAGCCGTTGACCGACCACTCGGTCACCCCCATCTGCCGCAGGTGGGAGCGCGCGTGGCTCGACAGCCCCTTGCGGTTCTCGAAGTACTCGCCGCAGAACTCGCAGCGGATGTCCCGCACCGGGTCAGCTCGGGAGGCTGCGGGGAGAGAGGGGGGGACGTCAGGGGGAGCAGGGTGGCGCCCACCCCTCCAAATCCTCCCCTCGTGCCCCACAGAAGAAGCTGGGAAGCCGGGAGCAGACCCCGCAGCAGGACCCCGAAGCACCCGGTGATGGCTGAGGGGAACGCAGAGCCTGTCCTGGAGCAAGGCAGGTCACAGGACCACGAAATGGTTTGGGTTGGAGCAGACCAAAAAAGGGCTTAAAGCCCTCACCCTTCATCCCTATGGCTACACCCCCCTGTCAGAGCCCCCCCCCAGCATTCCTGGAGCCCCCTTTAGGTACGGGACGACCACTATGAGGTCTCCCCAGAGCCTTCTGCTTGTCCTGAACAACCCCCAGCTCCCTCAGCCTCACATTTCAGACCCCACAGCCCCAGCACCAGGGCAGCACGGTCCCACCTGGCCCCCCCAAATGAGGGGAAGGCGAGAGCCGGGCACTTACAGAGGTTGAGGGGAGACATCTCCTCCCGCGGGGACCAGGCTCGGTCGGAGGGGTGGGGGTCTCCGTGGAGGCCTCCTGACATCATCTCGCGTTTGATTTCCACCCTCAGCTGGTCTTGTTTGAGCTTCTTCTGCAAGGAGGGAGGAGAGAGGCCTGGAAACATCTTCCGGGCAGTGGGAGGTGGGGACGAGGTAGGAGACTGCCCCAGGGGACTGCCTGCTTGCTGGACCTTCTTGGCGAGGCCGGGGATGTGAAGCTCTCCGGGCCCCCGAGGCTCCAGGGGTCC